GGAAAGAACAAAAGTTTTCTGTCAAAATAAATAAATAAGAAAAAAATAATTTTGTTGATATATTCGAATGGTTGTTTACTGATGACGTCCAGCGACGGGCCTGAAAATTTTATGTTATCTTTTCATATACTCTCTATTACTCTAACCAGGCTATATTATGGCTGGTTTTAAATCAATAGTTAAAATCTTTACAAGGCTCAACATGAGCATTTCCAGAACAATCTAATAAGAAGCTGAATTAATAGAATTTAAATAATTGATGGGGTTATGAGGTTCCATCGCTTAACGTCTTCAAGATTTTAATGCAAAATTTGTGACCAGAGAAGGAAGACTAGAAAAGGAGATCAAAATTGTGTTTTTGAACTTTTCGTTTCCTAAGTTCACAAAAAAATTATAGCTTTATAGCACCCAATAATGTGTGAAGGGCCCATCCTTCCAACTGTAGGCACTGCGATTCAATTTGTAAAGAATCTATTGTACCACACCCTTAAGACCTAAAGTTTATAGAGGGATCCGAACCACTTGCAAGCTCTGCACATTGTAAAGACACGAGTACGTCATAAGACCTAATGTATCCTGCAATGAACCTAGTCACAATTTGTGTGGGTCGTAAGGCCACGGATGCCATTTCACCATTTTACAGCACCCAATCTAATTCTCCCTTCTAAAAGTTGGACTTCATTTATGAACAACTCATTTGTGTGAGAAACTTTTTCACCGACTTTTTCATTTTCTTGAAAAAAAAAAAATATACAGCATAATGGGATTTTATTTATTTTCAATCTTAAAGACGGAAATGAATAAATTAAATTTTATTTTGCTGATTGTTTGATTAAAAAGTTGAAAAGGCATTAGCATGTTTTGATTATAGCGAATATGTTTGAAGTTCTTAATGTTCATCCAGTTATGGAAATCTATGAATGGTAGCACTGAAATCTCGTCGCTCCTTGCGTCAATTATGGCAACCAGTCTTAAAAATTCATAGAATCAGTAGAAACATTAATATGCTTAGATTACAGTCTTGAAAAAGAGGCAATAGTAAGCATCATATTGTCAACACTGTAAAATCTGTAAAAAGGTCGAGTTTTTAAAAATTTCTAGTTAAAGACATTCACAAAAAACCACTGACCAAATCCCAAGAGCCAAATTGTCTCAAAAATCTCCCCACAAAAACATTTACTTCCAAAAAGAACTCAACAAAAAGTCAAACAAATGAACAAATTTACTTTCGAATTAATTATGCACGAACGGAATGAAAAGGGAAAATTTCAATGTCATGTCTGCGAAGGAGAAAGGAAAAATAAAATTTGAAAGATTTCAGTTCCACAACAACTTAATGAATGTGGTTTAATTGTGTTTTTTCATCGAGCCTTTTGTGATTTATTCAATGCCGTTCCAATATTCGTATTGATGACGTCAATTTCATAAGTAAATAAATTTTGAAGGAATTGAAGATTTGTGGACTTTATAGAAATATTCATGAAGGATGTTGGATGCTCAAAAGATTGTTGGCTCATTAAGCATGCAATAAAGGAAATGAATTAATTATTGGATTTACTTGATTAGTTCTACTCAAGGTTTTTACATAATTAATTGTGCTGAAAATGAAGGTACTGGGTCGTTCACAAATGATGTCCATCAAGAAAATAGATTTTTTGACTCCTTAGCTAGTTTTGTCCAAAACATTTTTGTATATTGTATATATTGAACCCCCTTCAAATTTTAAACATCATTTATGAACAATCACAACTAAAATTAGCAATTCTAACAAAGGATTGTGCATCTTATGGATCACAAGAAGGAAGGATGAGTCAAAAACTTTCCATTACATTCATCCATGGGAGTTATATATGCAAATTATTTCACATGACTAAATCCCATTCATGCTAAATATTTCTAGCTCCTCATAAATAGCAGCAATAATCCTCATTCCGCTCTTAACCATACCCGAGCGACATTTATCCGCTTTATTGCAGCCATAAGGTGGTCATAAGTCGTTGCCTACTGCCAACTGCCTCAAGTCAAGGCAGATCGATAATCGTCATACGACTGCCTTATTGCCTTGATGGCAACTCCTGACCTCCATATTTCCGCGCGCCAGGCTGTCTTGAAACTGCCACTGACTTGTAACCGACTTGCCTTGTAATCGCCTTGAAGTTGACGAGGTGGCACTCATACGACAGCTGTATGATCGACATACAACAATGCCTTAATACTGCCATAAAATTGCCTTGACAAATCTGAAATAAAATTACAAAGATAAATCAAAATTCAAAATCTGGATTTCAGTTAGGAGTTTATTACAATTTTTTATAATCAAAAACAAATTAAGATAAGAAATATCAATATTAAACTTTTTCGTTAGCTTTTGAATCAGCTTTCTTCATTTTACGAACAATTTCATTGTGGTCTTCATGAAAAAAGCGGATTGCGTAGTGAATAAATTTTTTTGCAGCATCTAAATTGATGTAAATTCCTTCGGTGTGTGCTTTAATGACGTCAAAAGAGAAATATGTCCGAGATTGTTACGAATCTCAACACGACCTGAAAAGGAAATCAAGAATAAAATATTTCATTATAAAAGTATCTTTAAAATGAAATCAATTAATAATACCATCATAATTGGACCATCTAACATCTGATAAAAAGAAGTCTGAAGAAAAATACAGCTTTAGTAGAGAGATCGCTAGCCCATTTTTCGGTTCACCTTTTGCTTTATCATTTACCATGCGTTTTGAAAGATAACCCAGAATTGTTAAGCTATGTTAAAATAGAAATATATAATAATACATACCAAGTTACAACGCTGTTTCTCAAATTCAGGATCAAAATTTGCTTGATTGTCAAATAAACTTAGCTTATGCTCAACAAAATCGATTAGTTGCGTGCTTTTAACTGGAAAAATTCTTATTTTTACAATAATTTAAGCACTTTAGAATTACTTACATCACTGATGGCTTCCATATCGACGTCTCTTGTAATATTTCAAGTCCAAAAAGCACTTTTAATTGACTCTTTTTAATTATTTAATTAATTGACGAGCCTAACACGTTAAACGATATGACACAAATGTTTTAACAAAGAAAAAATTCTTTTGTTCTACTCTATTGTTATTGTAGCAGCCACAAGGCAGTCACATGGCAGTCACAAGGCAGTTACATGGTAATCGCAAGGCAGTCGCATTTTAATCGCAAGGTAGTCACATGGCGCCTATAAGTCAGTTACAAGGCAGCTACAAGTGAAACTGCCTTACAACTGCCTTAATCTTTTCAAGGCAGTGTAGTGGCAGTCTCAGAACTGCCACTGCCACAAATTGTCGCTCGGGATAACTCTTCATTTTAAAAACTAATTTCGTTGAATTGTACATTATCATAAGCTACATCCCTCCGACATTCCACTTCCTTCATTTCACATTTTCGCACATGCTACTGAATTAAACCTTGAATAATGCATGAATACCATCACTACATTATTACGTCAAAAACTGCTTATTTTATATAATTTTTTTTACCTATCGTTGCACAATTACCAGCAGTATCAAGTAACACAATATTGACAACCACTTCGAATGGATTTTATAATAACATGATGTGAGACAAATGTTTGCACATTCACAGCTCACTGAAAATTTCAATGCTGATATAATTTCATCATATCTAAGAGGAACGAGAAAAAAAAACAAAACTTGTGACAGATGTGATGAGACTTCAATTATCGTGATGTATTAAATTAGCATAAAGAGTTGAAATATGCGAGTTTTTAAAGTGGAATGGGTAGCTTTAATTAAATGATCTGTTTGCAAAAATGGTACTTGGAGGGTGTCATCACAGTAAAGGAATTGTCAGGGTTAGCAAACAATAAGCGCTTTAAATGTTTTGTGGAAGTAGACATTCTTTATTTGATCCAGCGAAACTAAAATCATTGCAATCCCTCTTGTTCAATTACAATTCCTCCTTTTCATTTTAATACCATGAAATGTCATTGAGTAAGGCGTCATAAGGGGTCGTTCACATATGTGGCAAATTTTATGGAAGTAGTATCCTGTCGTTTCATTTAAATTGCAATAAGTGTACCGCAGGCGTGTAGCCAGGAGGAGGGGGGGGGGGATTTGGTTGACTAATCCCCCTACGTCAACAGAAATTTGCTAGGGTTTTTATCAAAATCCTAAAAATCAACCCACCCCCCCCCCCTAATTTTTTTGTGCTCTTTTAAAATTTTTGGCAACGCTACTGGTGTATTAAACTGAAAACTTAGAGAAATACATCACTTAACTTGATGTTTTTCATGCCTAAAATAAGGTTAAGTAGCTCAATTCACAGCTTTAAAAAGACAAAATGTTTTCAAACTCAAGAGAAGTCTTCATAACGTTTCAGTTTCTGTATCCAAGATCAAAAGTTCAATTCCTAGAAGGTATTTTAATTTTCTGCCTCTTCACATAAGCAAATGATCCGGAACGCTCATCAAACCTTTTAATATATCCATACTCAACTAAAATACAGTATGCCAATCACAGAAAATTCGAATTTCTAAAATAATTTTTTTCCAAGAAATAAATAAATACGAGCTTTACTAAAAAGGAAGCAGAAGATGTCTAGAAAAGCAGAAAACAAAATTGACGGAGAGGAATAAAAATTTTCTCATTTTCATTCATTCATGTCACGTGCACGACTGAGATGAGAAATTCTTCATAACAATCATTGTGTTAATGACGATGACTGTAGATCCAGTAGATCAAAATGATTTTCGAAAATGCAATTGCGCAGGACGACTTCCAATCGACTTCCAATACTCTCTCAAATACTCACCGAAATGTAAAGAAATTTGACAAAATAAAGTAAAAAATCAAAGAATCTTGTCAGTTGAAAAAAAATTACCGAAGCTGAAGGGTGTTTTTGATGCCTTCGAGCTGTGCGTTTGAAAAAAAAAAGTTTATTGTAAATGTAAAGGATAAAATTTTTAAATCATTTCATTTATTGAACTAGCAAAAGTGATAAAAGTTGATGGAATTAAGTGTAAAATGTGCTTAAAGTTTGAACAAATTGAGACATTTTGGATTATGCAACAAATCACAGATGGAATTTCTTTGATTTTAAAGTGAAGCAAGGTTTTTATGACATTTTTTCTCTCCTTCCTTTTTTTTCTCATCTGAATTATTTGTGGAGACACAGCTGTCGCGCATAATTTTTAACTTGGATAATTTTCTTCTGCTGTGTGCTGTGTTGTCTGCAGGATGCCTGCGGCATCACGTTGTGCTATTAAAAGCCGGCAAATGATGATTAATGTTTTATATTTTTTACTTGTCAATTTCTATTCATTCAGTTTTGACTCTTTGTTGTGCATAAAGAGTCACTCCTTCTAGTTCCAAAAATGAAAAACCATAAAATGTCAAAAATGTTTCAATAAAATCTCCAGTTACAACCCCACAAAAGCCATAAAAAAATCAAACAAGTTCAATAGCCGAAGAATGTAATCTGACAGTCAGTTTGTCATCTACCCACACTTACAGAGCAATTTCTCTTGTATACACAAACTCCATCCATGGATCCATTCTAATTTTAAATAAATTGTAAACATAAATCAGTCATGATTGACTTCAAAATGACACGGGAAAAAAATGTTCTCTTGTGCATGGGAAAAAAATTGCTACTGTCGTAAATTTTAACCTTCATGTCACCCGGCCCATATCCATGAATATTAGAATAAATTTTTTGTTGCTACTTTTGTGCTTTTTTTTTTGTTGCTGCTGCTTATGTTCATGGACCCGGCTATCAAATTTTTTTTCTCTCTCTGTTGCCTGCCTTTGGATACACACGAAATGTAAAACGAAAGAAAAAGCGTAAATAATCTTGTATGTGACACATATAAATTTTTTGTTCTGTGAGAACTGAATCAATGGCTGGGATGACTGTGCTGTGTAGATGTGAGTTCTGGATTGTATGGATCGACGTAAAGACTTCTTTAGTTTTTTTAAAGTTAATTATTTTTTATTCCATGCTATTCCATGATTTTTAAGAGCATGAGCGCAAACCATTCATTAATTTTTAAAGTTTAAACACCTACAGGTTATATGCTGACCTAAGAACTAGGCTCCCATTTAATTTTTGAAATTAATTTTTTAAATGTTTGTGCTCCTTGTTTCGAAAAGCTATGCTTCCTCTCTTAAATCAGCTTAATTTATTGTCAAACCTAAACAACTTACAAACCCTCCGAATCCAAATCAGCTCTTCCAAAAGCAATATTGTACACGTTTCAAATGATTCAGAAATGATTTTTTTACAACTTAACATGTGAACATGCGGATCATAGTAGTAAATGGACGAACGGATGAAAGGATAAATGGATTGCTGAACGAGAGTTGCAAAAAAATTTTGTCACCATTTATGATGTGACATTGTGATTTTTTTTTGTCGCTTTTAACCCCTTCTACCTTCTCGTTGTAGCTACATATTTTGTAGCTCAAAGAATGTTTATGCTACACGTAAACTGAAAATAGAATTAGTTTGGATCGTGCGTCCTTCAATGTTTTTTTGGATATGGTTTTGTCGTGCTTTTGGGGAATTTTATGATGTTTCTGGGATGCTTGTATCCTTTAAATGGAGTTTGTGATATTAGAACATTCGCATGTAATATAAATAGATGTTCTGTCTTAATGCCTAACGACAAAAGTCGAGTGGGGTAAAATATTCATAGACGATACACAAAAAAATCTTTTTTCGGATGGAATTTAAGCATCATTGTCTTTAATGAAATAAATTGAATAAGGTATTTACCATGGCATCTAAAATGATTTGGCAGGAAATTTAATAAATAATTCTAAAATTACGAGAAAATCATTGTTGTCGGTCTTCATGCCTTGTAGATGAAATTAATTATTTTTCAGTTTTTCCATCCACGAAGAATTCCTTTCAAGTGAGCAACAAAAGAGAAAATTTATCTTCCTTTATTTCATCATAAAAGAGGAAAATGTGTTAATTAATATGCTGATTTTATTAACAAGAACCCTCAAAAATTTAATATTATGTTAAATATTGAAAAATTTTGGGCAACTTTAACTTTTTATGGGTTCCATAGTAGGTGGATGATATGAATTTTGTGGGTTTTTCACTTATCGTTTAATAATGTTCTGAACCCCCCCCCCCCCCTCCTACACTTGAAGTAGTGTATATTAAAATTTTAGATCCATAAGAAACTTGACGTCACTAGTCAACAACCCCAAATATTTTTCCTCAAAATTAATTTGCTTTTCATCCTCACTCTCCTTCTTCCGGTCACCAAAAACTCTCCTTTTTCATAAACAACAAAGAAACTTCATAATAGAATAATCAGAGCAAATAACTTCCCATTCATCCACAGAAATAGATTTATGTTTCGTTACACTTGAAAGCATTTTTCTTCAATTCTTCCTTTCTTGTTTTTCCAACTTTCTTAATGAACCCAAAGGAAATTTTATGGATCTTTATCAAGTCTATCACACGCAGATGATATTGATATCATATCTTTGAGTATGTGTACGAGATGATGTGTATGTTGTACTCGTCTAAATGAAAACATCCTCCTTCGTCATGCTTGACGTAATAGGAAATTCTTTGTTATGGAAAATCGATGAGATGAACTATATTGTAAATTGTTATTCCTGCATAAGACAGTCTTCTTAAGTTTTGTGTGAGATGATTCAATGACAGGCTGAACTGAATTTGTGTAATGCTTTATTGTTGTTGGGATTTTTAAGGCTTTAAAGTTGAGGGATGATTTGTAATAATAACAATAAAGACTCAAACGGTTCAATCTAATTTTTCGCCATCAGACAACCTTAACAGCGATAGCAAGGCACTTCACGACTATATGTTGTTTTACTGTTACCATTTAACCTTAAGACAACGCTCTACTACTTGTAAGAGCGACCAATGTGAAGAGTCTAGTTGAAAAGATAAAGTTAAGGTATCATCAATGCTTACTGATAATCCATGCCATGTTATCATCGTAATCATCCATTCCTATTTGCTTACTAAACCAACAAGCTCGATTCTCTTATAAAATTCATAATATTTTTCTTCAACATCCAATTCAGCAAATCCCCAAAAAAAATCAATAATTCAAATTTGATCAACCATAAAATTAAAATCAGAAAATTTTAATGAATTCATAGTCATGTAATTACATCAACAAATTTCAATAAAGTGGTTGACCAAAACTACTGACTCATTTCCATATCTAAGCTACTAAATTAAAATTAATTTACGGCTACATTGTTGAATTATTCATCACGGATTTCCTCAACATCAATTAATTAAAATTCATTGTCGACCAAACAGTTTAGGAGCTTAATGAATATTTGCGCATGTAATGTGATTAGTTAAAAAGGTTTGACTGAATAAAATGTCTGATTTTGCGATAGTTGATGAGAAAATCCAAATTCTATTTTAATATTATTTGAAACTTTATGTCATGAACATCCTAATAACTTAATACTTGTGCATTATTTTGAAATAAAATCTTTCGTAAATCAGCCTTTAAATTTTTCAAGAAGATGAAATTCAATTTCTGAAATTAAAACATAGACAATCCTTAAGGCACATACCAACTGCTTGATAAAATTAATTAAGTATCGTGTTGTCTAGATCATTAGAAGCTAAGCTTTAATTTAGTTGCTTTGACAATTTTAAATAAAGGTTACAAATTGACTGATCATCACGAACGGTTTATCTGGTGCTGGTCTGATATGAATATAAATCTGATGTGAATACAAGTATTGACGACTAGTCAGTGACGTTATAAAACTTAAAAGTCAGACTAATTTAAAAAGAAAAGCAAGATTCGTTCATTGAATTCACCAACTTATCTAGCTTGTCTAATTTAAATTTGTTTTAAAATATCATTATAAATTATTTAAAGCAGAGACATCAATCCTCAACACAAACCGAATGACTTGCCATCACTGAATAATAAACAATGCTTAACATCATGTTAATGCCTAATTCCGTAAAGATTAAAATTGATTTAAATATGAATGGTTTTTCGATGCTCAGAGAGTCACTCATCTCTAATTGAGATAATAAATGTTCATTTGCGATTCTTCGACAATTAATCTTTCATTATAATCCTCGCCTCTTTTGTTCCAAAGCTCTATGTCTCTCTCACCCCTAATAGAGATGAATGGGTATTATAAATTAATTCAATATTGAATAGAGAGTTCTTAAGAGTAATTAATGCTAGTCAGTCACATGGAAAGTTTAAACTCCTTAAGTGTAAGGAGCTTTTTTGAAAGGGTTTGTATGTGTGTCTGTGATGAGGTTTATTCACTTCTGGGATTAAAAAAGGTCAACTTAATCAAGTCATTATAGAGAAATGAGATTTATGTGGTTAAATATTCAATTGACATGTTCATTATTACGTTAATAATCCTGACTTATTACCAGCATGAAACAGTAGTGAGCTCAAGCACGAAAGTCGTTGACTGCTTTCCAGACGACTATTCAGAAATAAAAGCTTCTACAGACATGAAATTTCACTTACCGCCAAGTCATTTCATACACAACATCTTTACACATAACCCTCATTTCCACTGCCATTTTTTTCTATCTTCGATGTCTCTTTTGTGTGTTTTTTACTTACTTTCTTGGAGTCTGTTGAAGATAGTTCATGCTAGGACATTTTTTTTAGCTTTTGTCTTCGACTGACACGATGTTTCTTCTTCTTTGATTCTTTGTGTTTTGACAAATGAGGATGAATAGGAAGTTTGAAGATGTCTTTCTATTGATTTTTTTAAAACTTAAATTGAATTATGTTGGAAGATCCTTTGCCTATCAGGAAACAATCGTTTACAACTTCAATAACAAAAGAGAAGCTTAGTGAAAAGTTACTTAACGTTGAAATGAATTCAATAATGGACGTTGTTAAATAATTTTCAAGAGAAAGGGAATGCTTCAAGACTGTCGAACGAGAGAAGCCTTCTGTCTGAAATAGATTAAAACAGGATGACTATTGTAGATCTCCCTATAACTGCTATATGTGTATACTTATGTAAAACAAGTCGGGTTGGGAGGTGATGGTAATCGAACCAACGACCTCAAAAGAGGCGATCTCAGACCACTCGATCAAAGATCC